GAAATATCGTGTCTATCTCAATTAATAAATGCTCATGAAGTTTTCTACTATCTTGTGACACACAGTGTTCCTGTCATACACTTGGCTTCATTGCAGCTGCTTCCTGCAAAACGTAAAAGCATAACTTTAACAAGTTTCATTTCCTATAAAGATAAAAAGCACAGAGAGTTGTAGATAGGTAACTGGGTAGTTCCTCTACTGTAAAAGCTGGTAAAAAATGGTGCCAGTTTTTTGACTCTTTAAGGTCTTGGACTTTTCCTGGATTTGACTTGGTCCATTGAGTAATATTGCTCTTGTCATTGATGCTGTAGCTTACAAATTTGTTTCTACTGTATTAGTCATAATGATTGTTTTTATCAAAGCTGAGCAATATTGGTTTGAAGCTCAAGATCACTGCAAAAGATACAATTGTTAACAATTAGAATGTTAATAAGTTGGACATGGACTGACTGATCCTTAGCTCTAACTGAATATATGTGTCAAAACTTTGCATTGTCTTCTTGACTACTTGCTAATAAGATGCAGACTAATGGATCTGAATAATATAAACTCTAGGAATACAGATATTTCATTCTGTTATTCACTGCAATATCCTCTGCCTTTAGAATAGTATTACATGGTAGGTACTCAATAAAYATTTGTCAATTTGCTAAATGAATGTGGCTTTGCACTTACCTGTGCCTGCAGGTTTTAGACCACCCACTGTTCAGAGTAATCCCTTGCCCTGATTCTCAWGCAAACCCCTGAATTGTCTTTTTTCCTTTCCTTTCCAATCAGATATCTCAAAAGCAGAGTCTGTTTTCAACAACAGTTTGAATTCTTTCACATCACGGTTCATTTTCCAGTGTGTTACAGTCAGTCTTCTCTCACTAATATTTGCTCAGAATGTTTCTCCTAACGCTGGCAGTGACCTCCGAATTGCAGAATCCAGTGGTCTCTACGCAGTTCTTCTTCAGGCTTTCTCAACAACACTGCCCTGCTGCTTCCTAGTCCTTTGAGACACTTGCCYTTCCTCAGATTCCAAGACAGGACGCTCTCTACGTCCCTCTCCTACTTTCTTAGATGTCTTCAGTTTCATCTTCACTAATTGCACTTTCTCTAACAGCTAAATGGGGACATCCTGAACAAAGTGCCACTGTCCCCTGGGAACTCTCGTCCATCCCTGTAACTCAATCTAGCAACTTTAGGTGCCTAATTCATGGAACTCWTTTTTAATTCTGCTCTTTTTTTCCTGATTTCCAAGCCTCATATCCAGGTGTGTGAGAAGTATTTAGTGGCAAATCTCCCTCCTACAGTCGAAAACCATAGAACTAACCTACTCAGAGCTTATGATCCAATCCCTGTGCCTGTGGCACTATTGGGAGGTGATTGAACCATTAGGAGGTGGGATCCAGTGGATGGAAGTAGGTCATTGGAGATGGGCACTTGAAGGGCATACTGGCATCCTGGACTCTACATCTCTACCATGAGGTGAAGGTCATGCCATAAGATCAATAGTTTTCCTCTACCACATGCTTCCCACCGTGATATCCTGCCCCAGCACAGGCCCAAAACACAATGGAATAGTCAACCATAAATTGAAACCCCAGAGACCATGACCCTCCCCCACCCCCAGCTTTCTAAGTTGATTTTCTTAGGTATTTTGTCAAAAGGACAAAAAGCTGATTAGCACACCATAGTAGATGCCTAATAGATATTTTATTAATGCCTCTTTTTCCACCCAGATAGAAAYTCTAAGGAGATAATTTGCCTGTTTTTTTCTCACCATTTTGTGTTGCAGAATAGTCTGTGATCAGTAAATATGTTTCAATAAATGAATTAATGATTTTTCAATGATCAGTTCTGTCTTCCTTTAGGATTTTGTTCTCACTTGCAGCAGAATGCATACTTTTTTACTGGAAATTACAAGGGAAGAGATGAGTAGGGGCCAACCATGACTCCATAGGATAATCCTAAATTTGCTTTGACTTTTGCATTACATGATCCTACCATATTCAGTTTATATTGCTTGGTTCTGTAGTTCAAAACACATAATCAGGTTTGAATTAAARGGAGTCTCTTTAAGAATTGCAGACTTAACCTAGAAAAAATTCATATTTGAGCCCCCATGAGCATTCTAAGTTATTCACCAAGAATTTAAAACAAGTCGAATTCCATACATATTTCACATGAAATTAATCTGAAGCTACCATTTCTGTGTATTGGATCTTTGAGAATTTCACTTCRACYGGTGAAATTAAAATTTGRTTTTCCTGGATTTTAACAGATGACAATACTTCCTACTGGTAGACATGGACAAGGCTTGAGTATGAAGCCACATTTTGAATAACAAGAAGAGAAAATACATATCTTACTCAGTTTCTGCTGCTCCAACAGTGATTTTCAAGACTTACAACAACAACCCAAAAAAGAAAAAAAAAATAAGCAGAAAAAGGAAATACCGTAAGTAGCCAGTTATAGTGAACTAGTAGAATATTGATTTAATCTTGATTGACTCATTGAATATTAAGTTGCAATTTAAAAATGATGCTTGTGAGAATAAAGAAAATTATGACACATTGTTGCACATAAAAGGTAGATTATACTGTAACTACTAAAGTGATTGTAACTTGCCTAAATTGTGTAGAACTATGAACTATGGTGATCAACCACTTAGTTTACTAGRGACTATCTTGGTTTTAACATTGAAAATCCTACATCCTAGGAAATCCTTCAGGCCTGGATAAACTGGGATGGATGATTACCTTATTGTGAATAAGGATTATTAAAAAAACAAGGAAAATTGAAAGGATGTAAGTCAATCTCCTAATCAGTGGGTGCAATTAATTTTTGAAATGTTTTATGGTTGTAAAATTCTTTATACAAAAGAAAAACGGAGAGGAAAAACTAAAGCTATAGAATACATCTTTCACTTTGGGACAAAGCCTATTTTCTGTTGGCCAATGTCATTTGATTCCATATTGATGAAAGGATTAATTAGGAAGAAGGTTATGGCAACAATTTTCATTCTTCTTTTGGACCTTGATGGTGTCTTATAAGGAGTTATGTGAATTCAGTAAAAACAATTACTTGAGATCATAAAAATGAGTAAAATAAAATTCCTAAGTAAACCRTGGGTTTGGAGAGGGGTCCTCATGTATATTTCAGAAGTGGGGAAAATAAGAAATAAAATCTTGTGTTTTTTGAGTTTTTTTTCTTCTGACTTTATTATTGTTTTCAGTGGGTCTGCCACTGCCATTCCCTTTTCTCTAATCAAAGCAGGAGCGATGGTCATGTATTCTGGTCGTGCTGTGATTGCCGAGAGTGAGCCATACATTATTAACAACACAGTCYGCGAAGATATTACTCAGGATTTACAAATGTACTGTCACAAATACTAATGACCTGACCCCTCAGCATTCCAGCTCAGATTGAGTGCATGTGAATATGATGAACCCCCATGGTCTGACATTTCAAGATTAAAGAAGGATGGGGAGACACTCACATGAGAATCACCTACTTCAGACAAGAACACAAAGCTTTATTCACTTACAGCTAATTTTGAAAACTTAGCATAGAAAAATGGTTAATCTCCCTTTTTAAAATTGTAATTACAGGAAATATCTTCCACAGATAGTCCCTTAACAAAGTGGAAATATCACAGGAAATGAAAATTACCTTGTCCCATACACCTACCACATTTGGAACTGGTAGATTACAGCTTTAGGTTGAAGGATGACCTCAATGTCTTCCTAGGTTAACATTCTTCCTAGGTAAGGTATTGGTATCTCTGAACATGAACAGGAATTGAAAAGCAGGATGGCTTTTGCCTGAGACTTGGCACTTTAATTATGCTGTTTTCACACCTGGTCTTTTTCCTGAAGATGTCTATGATACTTAGTGTCTGCRTTATATAGTCTGCCAGCTAATTAAATACTTATGCCATAACTAGTTTTATGACTGTTGTGAATTTCTAAGGTTTTTATCCAAAGGGGTAAACTCTGATTCTGATTCTTTTTCTAACTCTCCTAACATCTTCTGGTCAGAGTAGCTTCTTGATAACAACTGATGACATGGCTCTGGCAATTTATGCAGACATTGCAGTCTGGTTGCTATGAACATCACCAGGATTTGAGTATGAAGATCTGTGAATGAAACAAGGATTGCTAGCTGTGACTGTGACACCTCTTTGAATTACTTAAAAAATAGGGATAAGCATTCTTTCTTGAACATAGATAATTAAATGAAATTATTTTATGAAACAGTCACCTGTAAAGCATTCTATAAATACATGTTTTGAYTATTACCTGAGATTTGAGTACTCATGGTATTTTCTCTAATCATTCTGTCTGCTTTTGCCTATAGGTTAAAAGGAGGGAGACAACGTAACCGAGGATCAGAGTAGGAGTTGGGGAAATTTAAGAGACATGTTCAAATATAAGCTGTACCATTTGGAYAATTAAGGGACTGGGTAGTGACCACTTAGAACTTCCCTAATGGAATGCTGATTCTCCAAGAATATGTCATGGCGTCAGCCCTATGAGATATTGATGGATTGATTCTTTATTGATTATCGTTATCGTTTTATTTCCCTTAAAACAAAAGGAACTTCAACAAAAATGTAGATGGGGAAGGAGTTAAAGATAGCTTAAAGGAATGGCATGGGTCAGTCATGGACCTTTTCTACCAGATGCTGAGTCGTCCTGTTGCTAATGGAAGAAACAACCACAAAGCACTACTAGTGAAAAGCCTAGCCAAGGGAAAATCTAGTGGGAAATCATGTTCTGCAGCACTTATTCTGCTTTTTTCCAATGTATGAAAGTTTCCCCAAACAAGAAATAGGACATCACAATCTGTTACAATCCCACATTTGCTGAATGCACTTGAGATGGGGCTGTGGTTATTCCATGCAAAGACCAGGTGGAAAAATGGAGAACCAGTTCAGAGTGCCTCAAGAAATGGGGTAACTATGTCTCTTAGAAGCTAAAYACTAATGCTTAAAAGAGGCAGCAAAACCCAGAAGAAATAGTTTAAGGAAAGCTATCATTTTCTATTGGTGGGGATTCCTGATCATGGGGAGGTTCTGGAAAATTTATTTCTGTTTCTTCTCCTCCTTCTTCTTCTTGGACTGGAATAATTTCAATGTCTTCTTCATTCTTTGTTTGAGAAGGAACTTCAGTTAGCTCAACCACTTCTTCTTTTATTTCAATTGTCTGTTCTTTCTTGTCTTCAGCTGACAGAAGAACCACCTTCTAGAACACAAACAGATTTTTCTTGACCTTTACCATTGGCACCTCTCTCAAACACCTTTATACATATTTCTCAAAAGCCTTCAAGTTTTTAGGCTACTTATGTTGCTTACTATATGCCTCCCAACACCAGGATTAATTTCCCAGGTGGTGAAATCCTTATCAAGTCACTTTTCAAAACTGAAGTCTGAGTAAATCCCCTGGGCTGCAGGCATTTGCCACTGTGCCTGGMATGATCACCTAGCASGGGAAAGGAACACTGCAGTAATAGAGGATTCAGACCCTGGTTCTAATTTGCCCTTAGTGGTTACAGTCCTGACAGAGCAATTTTCTCTCTCTGATCCTATTTTCCAAAACTGCACAATAAAGGGATTAATAATGATTTCTGTTCCAAATCTAATGGGTTGTGGCTCCAAAGCAGCTGTTACTAGATCTACCACTGGGATATTCATATTTCCCAACTTTGGAGCCTCTTTGGACCTACCTACAATTTTGGAAGAGAAACTGGGAGAAATGGGTGGGAGGAAGAGAGGATTACTGAGAAATGAAATCAAAGAACTAGTGATTTAACCATCATTAAACATCAGGTATGGAGTCATGACAGCAAGTGGAAGAAAAGGTTAGTGAGAAGGTTCACATATTATAGAACTATCCCTTCTGTCTGGCTATAGACATATTTCTAATTTCAAARACAGTTTTCTTCATTGCTAGTAGCTAGTATTTTCTGCTCTCTAGAAATACAGCAAGACCATTCTTTTTTTTTTTTTTTTTTGGTGTGTGTGAAGTTCCCAGTTCCAAAGTCTCATTGGATCACATTATCCACATATGATCCTTTGTAGATGTGAATTTTTGAGAGGGGCGTTATGGACAGAGTGGCTCCTACTTACAGCTTGGGGCCTGGAGCAGGTTCTTTTCCACTCATTCTCAACAATGCCGGCAGTCACAAGTTTCTGGAAGAAGGCAAAGATCAGTAACACTGACAARACGCCCTGAAAAACAATGGAAGAATGAAGGTGAGGATGTAATAATGGCACAGAGAGTATGTTTGGTGTTCTRTGAATGATTGATAACTAAAATCAAATAAATGATTAAAAGATCTGTTCTTTAGCTAAGTAATGACTCCCTGGGAAAACCATTAGTATGGAAGACAGTGACTTTATAACCTGAACCCTTAACGCAACTTCAGGCATATAGCAGATGTTAATGCATGTTGCTGACAGAAGAACTGTCAGCTGAATAATCAGTTTTAGGTATGAAATAGTAAGTGCCGAGTCCTAAATTTAAACTGTATTCGGTGCAACCCTCCACAATTGAGGGATGAACATTTTTTTCCCCTCAAACTCTGATATCTTAGGAATTTCTTCCATGTTTATATTAATGATCATGATAAATATTAACACCACAAATGATATTAATAATTAATATTGAAACACTTAGCACTTTTAATATTCTATACACTGTTCTAAGTGCTTTGCATATATTAACTCATTTATTCCTAAAAAACAAAGAAAACACTGTAAAATGACTGCTGTCACTATCCTCATCTTACAGTTGAAACTGAGGCAGAGTATAAGTAAAATTCTTGCCAAAGCCACATTTTTCAAAAAGTAGCAGACTTAGACATTATGGATCTGGAGTTGATAGTTGGAATAAAAATGACATATTTCTTCTCTGGAGAGAAATCYAATTTCACACTTACCAAGAACATGGATTGTATGCTGTAACAGTATTTTGTGGATGGAGAGTTTTCCTCAGAGGKTTTAGTGGGTTTACAGTTGTATATGTCAATATACGACACAGGAGTTTTAATAATAYTCAGACTCTCCATTTTTAAGAAATGTGAAATCGTAATATTGAGTATGTCCATGATCACAAGAATTATTCCAGAAATGGCAGCAAAGAGGCTCAATGAGTTCATTATTACTTTTGCTTGGACCTGAAACAGATAAACAGATCCATTAACTATGCTTGACTTCTATTTGGGAATCATCAGTGAGGAATCCCAGATGTCATTTCTCTGACTCACAAATTACGACACCTAAAGTCACCAGAGTTCTTCTCTAAATGGTTTTTAGCCTCTTTGTCTCTATAAATAAAATCTACATTGTACATATACTGTATTTATGTGAATAAAAACTCAAGTATCTTGTTCCTTTTTTCAGTCTTCTCCATCTTATTTGATGATATGACCATCCATTCAGTTTATCAAGCCAAGCATCTAGGAATGATCTTTGATTCCTGTATTGCATAACCTTATACTTATTTTACTGCCACTCTCCTACCTACTAGATATTTGATAAATATTTGTGGAATAAATGAAGATGAATGACACCYAGATGATTATCTCTCTGCATAAGGAGGCAGAGGAGAGAGATTTTTGCATTACACTTAAGTATGGTACTGTGGGTGTAGATTTGGAAGGAGCAGATAGCACCCTCCAGGACTGTGGTGTCAAAGAGAAGCAAGAAGTAGCAGCAGCAGCTATGACACCACTGCCWACTCCCTGTTGACACAGGATTCAATCCACCCTGGTCAACCATCTTTCAAGATACACTTAGGGCTGGTGTCTCTGGGTAGTATAGGTGAGMGACTGTCAGTGTGGATGTCCTGCCTTTCAGGGATGGTACAAGGTTGAAACAGGAAGATATATGTGACAAGTGCCACCGTGGCATGGGATTGTTGATGATGACTTTACAACACACACATTCTATCCCTGGCCATGTGATCTACAGGGGGCTACTCAGTGGGTCTGGCTGCATTTGCATAATAGAATAATTGTTCTCCCCAAACGGAGTTTGTTAGACCACTTCTAGAGGGGACCCATCTCAGTTCATGCAACCCCTCACTGACTTTACAAGTGACTCAGACTTTACAAGTGACTTGGCTTAGTAAGTACAAGTGTTGGGAGAGAATTTTTTTGAGAGGAAACCGGCTGGAAGTTCCTCGTCACCCATCCAGAATCAGGTGTTCCACAGGGCAGAGTCTTTCTGGGTGTGAATTTGTAGGTGTKATATGAACAAGAGCACATGGAAGCTCCTAGCTTCTGAAATATTGTCACATGTTACTCCATCCCATCCTCATACTGATTTTCCCTAGTAGACACAGGAATGGTAACCATTTCCTATGGTACCATCTCCATCTAGTAGGTGACACCTCAAGAGGTTCATAGAGAAATGGACTTGCTCAAGATTATAACTTAAGGTTCTAACTGAGCTAGAGCATGAATCAGTCACAATGTTGATGACACAATTGTCCTCAGTGCTGGTCTAGAAGAAATGGCATGGCTTTCAGAAAGGTCTGTTATTTTCACACCGCACTTAACGCTGACAAGATCGTAAGCACAGTCTTCATAGCTCTGCCTTTAGCTGTGCTTCTAAGGACATGCTTATAAAGTAGATCTCACTTTCAGGTTTTGCAGGAATGAAATGATAGCCAGCATTGTGGAGGATCCTTTGCTTTTGAGAGTGGAGAGTCTGTGATTCCAAAGCTCTTTTAAGGTCCTTGTTTTTAACTGAGAAAACAGCTATTTCTCTGATGTGTGGGAAAGAAGGACAGACGGTTACTTGCCAGACTGTTCCTGGAGGTTTTCTCTGCTGCKGCCAGGAGCGATCCAGAGGTAATATACTATAAGAAGAGAGGTGAGGAGGTGGGTGGGGGGAAGGGGGAGGGGGTGGGAGAGTTGGGAAAAGGGGGAGAGAAGGAGATCACGTTTTAACATTGAGAACTGGTTGTAAAGAAGCCATGAACATTTCCAGCCACTTTCACTGAACCGTTAACCTATTTTAATCAAGTGCATTCATTTCTCTTCAGTCATATTTCTTCCTTATTCAGTTTTGCCTATGTTCAGTCCATGTTATTCAACCACCTGGGAATGTGTAACTTGGACTATAGTAAGGGCAAAGAAACCCCACATTTTCTTGTTACTCAGTACACCAAGCAGATAGACATGCCTTAGTTTGTTCCATCAAATTGAAACAAAAAGCAGCARCAACAATAACACCACTACTCATTATTGGTGTAGATTGTAGTCAGCCCCAGACCACCATCTTTCCAGCTACAGTTAGGGCKGACGTCCCTGTGTAGCACAGGTGAGAGGGTATCAGTGTGAAGAAAAAGTTTGAGGAGTTTTCTTTTCCTTGTGTTTGTAACTTGTGAGAATGTTCTTTGGGGCCACAGTGATGCCCATGAGATGTGAATGAACAGAGAAGGAAGAGTTGAATGTGAAGGCCCTTCATGAAAATGTCAGCGGCCCCGGGAAAGAACCAGGGTTGTTTCTCATCTTCCTTTCCTGATGTTCATGCTGCAAATCAGTGGGAAGCTCTTATTCTAACTCATTTCTAYTTGTTCTGAAATTCTCAACTCTGGTCTCACAGTGGCAGCCAGGAAAAGTGCCCTGGGGAAATGAACATCATCGATGCCCCATGCCATTCTCAGATGGGATTTCAGGTTTGGAAAACCTGCAAATGACACAGCCCAAGGGAATGTTGCTGAGCTCATAAAGGGAAATTTATTTGGGTTGGGACTAATTTCACCAGGGGCCATAGTAAGTAAATAGTTATAAGGAAGAAGAGCAGATGGGCGGACATGCTGCCTCTGGCTTTCCCAAACACCAAACATCGAGTGCCTCTTCAATCRATGGGGAGGCCCAGCTTGGAACACTCTTTCTTGCCAGTGTGGGTCACACAGAGCATCTTTTTCTGAACTCATCTGAAGCACGATCACTAACCCTCAACCCTGGGAGCTGTGCTCCCTCTGTTTAGCCAACCTCTCTTCCCACTGAACCAATAATCTATTCCCTGCCCATGCACTTTCCTCAGTACACAAATGGTCTACATTTTTTTTTTAGTATTTTCTTTACCATTTTACAAGGGGTCATTATATTTTTCACTCACCAGAATGCCACCCCAGAGGGGGTACCACACAGTCACACAGATGGGTGCATAGACCCCTGTGGGGATCAGCAGCAGCCCTCCCAGGGCCATGTGGAAGAGCCCATTCATGATCTGGACAGCCTGGGAGAGAAGAGGAGGAGGAGGATGGTGGATGAAATCATCACTGTTGGTAGGCAAGGGAAGGTGGGAAGCCTTGGCTCTAACTAGGAACCCTGCCAGTTGCCTATAGGAAATGGCAGCGGTGCCAAGGATTTTGCCTTTTTCTTCTTCAGATACATTTTTCCCATCATATGAGGACATTTCCAGGAAACAAGCATTCTAGCAATAGACTGAGATGAAGGGCCCTTAAAGCTACGTACTTCTAAAGCAATGGTGACATCAGACCCCCTATGGTGACCCAGTTGATAACTTCTTTGGCACATCCCTGAATGGACCTGCTGTGTCACATAGGGAGCATGCCAGGTCGGATGACACCCCTTCACTTTGGACTGAATCCCACACATGGCCTGCAGCATCCGCTTCTGTAGACCAGAGAAGCTCTAGGATTTGGAGTGTAGGGTGACTGACTTACCCCCAAAGCCTTAGATTCCCTCATGAAGAAGCTTTGGGTGGGGCCCACCAGCGGCAGCGTCCCCTTGAGGTTTACTTTTGGAGCAGGTTGCATGGAGATAGGGCCCTTCGTAGGGAAAGTTCCACTCAAGGAATTTCTGGGTGTTGTCATTTTATTCTCAAAACTCCTAAAATTAAAAACAGTAATAAAATAAGTAGAGCGAAGACAAGGTCTTTGATAATCTCCTGTCACGCATCCGAACGCTTCTCTCAGYCTTCCCTCTGTGTGGCTTTGAGGGTAGGTAGCGCTCCTCCCTGCTGGCCTGGGATCTGAGGCCAGACCTACTACTGGGTTCTGAGAACCATCTGCAGGGGCTCTTGGGACACACGGGCCTAGGAGTCTCTGCCAGCATTCTTTCTCCACAACCTGGCTTGGGGCATACTTTACCTTAAAAGAAAGCTCCATGCATGTCTGTCCACATGTCACAGTTGTCTTCCTTCTTCTTCCTTTTTCCTAGTGCTGGGGTTCAACCCCAGGCCCTGTGCATGCGAGGCYAGGCACCACCACCACCACGCTACACTCCAGCCCCATCCACGACTTGTTTGTCTCTCAGTCCTGGATGCCTTTATTTATGCTTCACTATTGGAAAATGTACTTTCTATTGACTTCTGTTGCTTAGTTTCCCCTGCACATTGCAACAGGCCAGAGAACCCAGTCCTTAGAATCTGGAGGGGGCTCTAACTCTGTGACCTTGAGTAAGTCATGTCAAGAAGGTTCTGTGATGCTGCATGCAAGACTGCAACCTCCTGAGTCTGACTGCCTGGGTTTACATACTAATTCACCTGTTTGCTCTGAGGTGTTGAACAGGTCCTTTAAATTCTCAGGGCCTCAGGTTCTTCGACTATAAAATGGGATCGATAATAGTTTTTGTTTTATAGATTGCTGTAAGACTCAAATAGGTGCCTTTTCATGCAGATGTAGCTCAGATGTCATCTCTTCAGAGAAGCCTTCCCTGAACCTTCAACCTACAGTGCATACTCCTCTTTCACTCTCTCCCTTACAACATCGTGTTTTATTTGCTTCTTGGCATTTATCCTTGAGGGAGATTAGCTGTATTGTGTATCTCTTCCCCAGAAGGTAAGATCCAACAAAGTAGAGATTTTGTTCTGTCTTGGTCAGTATCTATAATAATGCTTGAACTTAATACCAGGCACTGTGTCTCCTTTTTGTAGTTGTGAAATGGTGGCTCAGAAAATTAATCAATTTTCCTGAGGTCCTTTGGCAAGTATGGAATGAGCTGGAAGTTATTATGGTCCTCTCCAAAGGAGTAACATTAGGGAGATAAAGTATAGAGGTCATCAATTGTTTGGACCAAAGGAGATGATTTGACTCTCATTGTTTAAATTTCTCCTTGTTTGTCAGCTGCTTGATGAAATCTGTGTCTGTTTTATTGGTGAGGTAATGTCTATAATGGCTATAATGGCTAACAGCAGCAGTGACCACGTATGGGTAGATGTTTTATTTTTCTCCTAAATAGTATATCACTAGGGCAACTCTATTTCTACAAATTCTTCAACAAATATTACTATAAAATAGCATCATATAAAAAAAGCATGACCATATATATATATATATATATATATATATATATATATATATNATATATATATATATATATATATATATATATATATATATATCTAGAACCAGTCCATCTATTCCTAAGAATATTGTAGATTCTCATAGCTTTGCCTTATCATTAAAATAATTATACTTAATGACTTCCATAGTATCCAACTCACAGTAATGCCAAAAGGTCAGCTGGTAGATTAGCAGGAGCTACTAACTAAACTGGTCAAAATGTGTTGAAAATAGGATTTTATTTTTACAGGTACTATAATCAGCACTGATACTAAAATGAAGACTCAGTTGATCATGCACTACCCTATTTTATTACAGCAACTTCTGCAAATCTCTTCTGGTTTTTGAAGGTGCTGCCATTTCCATGTCTATTCACTAGAGATCTTACAGCCAATGCAGGTCTGGTTTGCATAATGACTTTTAGGTCCACTAACTCCATCATGTACTGAGAAGTTCAAAGCCACCTGACTTCCTCTGCCACTCAGAATAGCTTTGCATTTTTATCCTTTCTGCCTGCCTGGGTGCTTGTCTCTGAGGATGCACGTTCTGACTTTTTCCCCTCTGTGCCCTTCTGTCCATCTCCTTCCACTAGGATGTTTGCTTTTCCAAGAAATGGGTTCTTCCTTGCACCCACAGTCTCTTGCTCCATTTGTGATGTCACGCTGCAGAAACAGGTTCACCTCTGTTGCCTGTCACTGTTGTGATGATCTCTGTATAAATTTAGGACATTAGCTGCCTTGCTCATTTTCAAACTATTGCTTTGAGAACATAAGATAATTTGCAATTGATAAGGTACCAAATACTCAAAAACCGTTTGTTATTACCAGATTGTTCTTAGGACTAAAATGGGCTACCCTGCCCCCAGTCCCAAAGCTCCCTTTCTTAAGTCGGCCAATGTCCCAGCCATGACCCTCCATCTCCCTTTCCTTTACCCCTGCTTATTCAATCTTTGCACTCTGCTCTCTTCCTCCTTCTTCCTCACCACTTACTCCTCAGCGATTTGTGACTAGTTTCTGTTGGAGTCACTCCGCTGAAACTTCTCTGTTTAAAAAAAAAAATGTGTGGCAGAGTCAATGTTCCTTCTAAGCAACGTGCCTCAGATCACTTTAATTCTCCTATTCCCCAGGTTTCAAAAGTTGGAGCCAAATTTTACTCCATCTCCTTCATTTTCCTTTTCAACCAATGGCCAAATCATGCCATTTCTCCCTCTGCAAGTTATTTTGCATATGGACCTTTTTTCTATATTCAAATATTCTATGAGTTTGGTTCTCATTTAGCAGAAAATTCTTTTTTTTTTTTTGTTCTGTAGATCGAACCCAGGGCCGCATGTAGSGCTGGTGCTCTACCACTGAGTCACATCCCAATCATTTCCTGTTTTTTTTTTTTTTTTTTACTTTTATGTAAGATGCAACAATCCGCAAAATACAACAGAGTATATTCAAGATTTAAGTAAAAAAATTACCTATTTTATCTCTTTTTAAATTTTTTTTTCAGGCAATAAACTCTGAATCTTTTTTTAAAAGTTTGTTCTTAATACTTACACATGACAATAGAATGCATTTTGTTACATCATACATAAATGGAGTATAATTTCTCATTCTTCTGGTTGTACATGATGTAGAATCACACCAGTTGTGTAGTCATATATGTACATAGGGTACATGTCAGATTCGATCTACATTGTATATCTTTCTACCTCCATATTCCTTCCCTTCCCTTCACTCCCCTCTACCTAATGCAAAGTAACTCTATTGTTCCCTAGCTACATGCCCCTTATTGTGAATTATCATCCACATATCAGAGACATTCTCAGGAAAGGAAACAATCAATAATGTGAAGAGAGAGCCTACAGAATGGGAGAAAATCTTTACTACATGCACCTCAGATAGAGCATTAATCTCCAGTATATATAAAGAACACAATAAAAACAAATAACTGAATCAATAAATGGGCTAAGGAACTGAACTGACATTTCACAGAAGAAAAAATGCAATCGATCAACAAATATATTTAAAAATTTTTCAACATCTCTAGCAACTAGAGAAATGCAAATCAAAACTACTCTAAGATTTCATCTCACTCCAGTCAGAATGGCAATTATCAAGAATATCAGCAACAATAAATGTTGTCGAGGATGTGGGGGAAAGGTACACTCATACATTGCTGGTGGGACTGAAAATTGGTGCAACCACTTTGGAAAGTAGTATGGAGATTCCTCAGAAAACTTGGAATGGAACTACCATTTGACCCAGCTATCCCACTCCTTAGTTTATACCCAAAGGACTTAAAATCAGCAAACTACAGTGATGCAGCCACATCAATGTTTATAGAAGCTCAACTCAAAAGACCTAAATTATGGAACCTCAACAGATGAATGGATAAAGACAATGTGGTACATATACACAATGGAATATTATTCATCCTTAAAGGAGAATGAAATGATGGCATTTKCGAGTAAATGGATGGAGCTGGAGAATATCATGCTAAGCGAAATAAGCCCATCTTAAAAACTGAAGGCCAAATGTTTTTTTCTGATATGCAGATGCTAATCATTTTTTATCGAATCTATTCTTCACAGGCTCCTAGATCAAATTCTCTAAATCTCTGCTCAAGTCATGCTTTTCCTGAGATTCAAATCTTGCTGACCTGTTATTGCTAACTAGAGAAACCCTCTCCAGGCCTCTCCAGAGCTTTACAGATCAGCTGCAAGGACTTCCAAAGCTCATGTGCACACCAGAACCACCCGTCTGGACATGTCTTCTACCTTCTGGGGATATTCTCCGTTTTGAAATGCTTCTCCCTCCCTCCTTCCCTCTTCAAGTTCTTTCAAACTCTGCCGTAGACATTCACACCCCCTGAGACTATTGCTTTTTCTCTGCACCTGATTGCAAGAACTTCCCCTTCAGAGCCCACAGCTCTTAGCATTTGTCAAGTCTCACTCAATACTTTCATCCTAATATTTATTCTAAATCTTCTAATGGAGTGTGAGTTCCCTACGGGAATTATCTCTCCTACCAGGATCACACAGGGAACCTGCTTCTTGCATATTGTGAACTCAGTGAAGTTTAAACTGAACATCAAATTCAGTTACTTCCTCTGAGCAGGTTTGCAAAAGTTCAGGATGCAAGCTCAAAAGGTGACTAGTGAGATCAAGTCATTTTAAGGGACACCAGGAAAGGAAATTATTTCTCTCTCTCTCTCTCTCTCTCTCACACACACACACACACACACACACACACACACACACACAGACACACACACACACACACACACACACCCTTCCAGGAAACCATTATGACATTGTTAAAATTATTACTTGCTGCTATCAATAGAGCTTCCTCCTGTCTCTAGGGCCCACTCCTAATCCTGGCTTCTTAGGTTATAGATTGGAGGTGGGATTTTGTAGTCAACATCCCCTGCAGAAATGTTAGCTGAGGAGGTTTAACATCACCAAAGTGTGCTAATATTTAACAATATATCTTTGAAGACAAAAGCATTTAAAGCAAAATTCATGGAGATATTTTCATAGG